GGCCCCCCCCTCCCCTTTCGCCCCCCCCCCCGCGGAGCCGGTCTCCAGCCTGCGGCCCGTCGCAGGCCAGGCCACCACCCCTGCCGCCGCACCCGCGCCCGCGGTGGCCGGCCCCAATCCACAGCCGCCGCTGCCCTCCGCCTCCCAGGTCAAGGCCGCCGCTGCGCTGCGAGCCAAGGCCCTGGGGGTCCCCGAGCCTCGTCAGGGCGCGGGGGCGGCGACGAGCACTGCGGGTGGCAAACAGGGCGGCGCAACTTTCGCTCCCGTGGCCCGCTCGTCGAGCAGTGCACCCCCTGCACCCCCTGCGCTGTCCGGCAGCAAGGCTGGCGCGGTGCGGAGTGATGCTGCCCAGGGGTCCCAGCCCCAGGCTCCAGCCCCGGCGCAGCGCGGCCCAGCCGTGCCACCGGACGCCGCGCCCCGCCCGCCGCCCCGGTTGGGCGCCGAGAACCCTGCGAACCCTGCCATCGAGGCCGATTTTCTGGACTCGCTCCACGAAACACGCCGGCTGGAGGTGGAGGTCCATGCTGCGGTGAAGAAGGCGGTGGACGAGGTGAGGGGAGCAGGGGGGTGGGAAACGACAGGGGGTTCATGATGGAGCAGAAGGCGACAGATGCTCCCTGCCCGCTGCATGGGGTGGCGCAGAGATCCGTAGGAATGGGGGGGAGAGCGATACCCTGTCCTTGGTCCCATGCCTGACCCCAGAAACCCACATTCCATATTCCCCCTTTCCGTCGCTGCCAGATGGAGCGTGGCCCCACGGCCCGCGTGACGGCCGGGGTCGAGGCGGCGCGCAGGGGCCTGGAGGCCGCCCGCGCCGCGCTTTCCAGCCAGGCCGCGCAGGCGGAGCAGCTGGCCGACGCCGTGAAGGTGGGGCGATTGATGTGGGGGTTGCTTCTGCCAGGTTCGCCACTGGAGGGGTTGGTCGTGGTAGGATGCCCAAGGCGGTGTTCCTGCGGCCCGGCAAACTCGATGGCCATCTGGCTCTCTCCCATCGGGCGCTTCACCCGCCTCCCCCTCCCCACGCCTGCGCAGGACTGCATGCGCAAGACGGCTGCCATGCCGCGCTTCCTCCCCGCCGACGGGGCGGGTGCTGATGAGGCACCGGCATGGCCGCTGGACCCTGTCCTGGCCGCTGCCAAATGCCAGCTGCAGGCGCAGCTGCTGGCCGCCAGGGTGAAGCTGGCCGAGCTGGGGGCCGCTCTCACGGTGGGTGCAGTGGGGACCTGGGTGCTGCAGGGTCCTGGGTTCCTGTGTGGGTGCCGGAGGGGGGTACTTTGCCGCAGGAGCTGCGATGGCCTTGGTTTGCCCAGCGGCCGCAGGCATGTTGGCAGCAGCCGTGGTTCTTTGCTCCCTCTGCCTCCACCATGGATGTGGCTGTTGAACCTTTCAGTAACCCCCCTCCCCCCTCAAACTCTCTGTGCAGGAGCTGGAGGATCGGCAGAGGAGCGTGAGGGCGGGGGAGGCCATGTTTGACCCCGTCAAGCCTCAGCAGGTCCTCGACATCTTCAACGCCCAGGTGGGACAGGGGCAAAGGCGGACGTGTGAAGATCAGAGTGCTCCATGAGATGTCGAGGCGGCGTTCCAGCTCCGTGGGCTGCAGACTGCTGCAGCGTCTCGGCTCCGACTCCAGCCCTTGCAGCCGGCGCGTTGAATCTATGAGCGTGGTCTTGAGCGTGGATCCTTGGTCCAGGATGTGAAAACCCACCTTCCCGCCGCATGCCGACCAGCCCACCGCAACGCCTACCCCTCTGCCGCCAGATGGAGATCATCGTGCGCAGGTCGGAGGAGCTGGAGGGCCTGAAGAGGGACGCCCAGGTGCTGGGTATCCTCGACATGGACTCGCCCCGTGGGGACGATGACGGCACGCATGGAGGTAGTGTAGTTGTTTCATAGGTTTGGAGACCGTGGGTTCCAGCCAGCATCACCTTGCCCTGACCCTGCTGCTGTGGGGGGGGCTGCTGGGAGGCTCCATGATGCCTGGGAGAGGCCCCTCCTGCCCAGCGTGTCCGGAATGCCTCTCCCTTGCAGTGGCGGAGCTGATGTCGGGTCTTCACATCCCTGGGACCCCTCCATCGACTCGGTGCGATGGCTGCCCGCTGGATGGGTGGGCCTCGCAGGTTCCATTGCGGTGACAGCTGAGGGAGCTCTCATCGAATGCTGTGTTTCTGCAAGGATGTGTGGCGGGAAGGCACACCATTGAGCCGTCACCCGGTCCTGCCTTCTGCCAACCCCCTGCACAGCACCAACTCACCCCTCCTCCCACCTGCACCCCACGTGGCAGGGCATCTCCCTGGAAGTTGGTGGGCGACGCCTCGCCCTCCCTGGCGTCCCTCTCCATCAGCCCTGTGCCGGCTCGTGGCGCCCTGGCTGGGAGCCAGAGGAAGGGCCTGGTCCCAGCCTCGCCTGCGTCCGACGTGTACCAGCGCATCCTCCGTCTTGCCAGCGGGCCCGCTTCCGGCGGCCTGAGGGTCACCGACGTCGGCCAAGGGATCGCGGGTGGCACAGATTCCAAGGGGAGAGCGGCGCCGGGCGCGCCCCCCTCGCTGCAAGCGCCCGTTCCGCTCCCCTCCCCCCCTCGCCTCTCGCCCCCTGCTGGAACGCCAAGCCCACGCTTTGACTTCTCCGGCAGGAAGCCTGGTGCTGCGCCTGCCCCTGGTGAGGGAGGGGGCCAGGTTTCAGGTGATGTTGGACAACCAGGCCGGTGTGCATGATGGTATTCTGCGCGCTCCCGACCCAACCCGCCGCACCACGCCCCGGACATCGCAGGTGGGGCCGCCCTCTTTGGCTCTCGGTCGCCAGGCGGGCTCGCCGGTGACCTGAAGCTGAGTGCCATGCCGTCCCAGGCGCCGGCTCAGAAGCAGGCCGCTCCCCAGCCTGCAGGGCAGGGTCCCTCCCTCAAGCCACCAGCGGCTGGCAAGGTGTGGCGCAGAGTGCTCCACATGAGGTTACGGCCTTGGCCCTTCGCGTGTGCAATCGCTGGCTGCTGGTGCTCACCATAAAGCAGCTCTGATCAAAGGTCTGACCTCCCCCCCACCCGCCATCTCCCCACACTGCTTCACACATAGGCCGCCCAGCTTCCGGCGGCTGCCACGACACGCATCCCATTTGCGCCAGCCCCCACCACATCTCGATTGGTCTCTGCGAGCCAGACTACCCCTGCTCTGGCTATGCAGGCAAAGCCGGCCCCCAACTCAAAGCCTGCATCGACGGTGCCGGCCAAGCCCGCCACGGCTCCTAAGCCGGTGGCAAAGGGCCAACCCCCACTCCCCAGCATGGTTCAGGTGGGGTGGCAGGGTACCCTTCTGGTGTGCACGCCTGTCTGACGCTCAGCCTTGCTCTCTGCACGGAGTGCCCTCCCTTGCGACGCATACTGTGGCTAGCAAGCCTTTCCTGCTTCCCCTCTTGACAGGTGGCTGGGGCGAAGGAGCTCCTCGCTAAAGTCACTGGGACAAAGCCTGCAGGCCCCCCTGGCAGTACAGCGGGCCCTCCAGGTGGAGTTCCAGCCTCAAAGCCGGCGGCTGGGCTGTCACGAGAGCCTAGCGTTGGTGTGGGGACTGCAGACGCTACACTTGGGGCTGCATCCCTGATGGGTCTGAGCCTCGGATCTGGCGCGGGACCCAGCAACAAAACAGAGGCCCCGGGGGCGCCATCACCGGCCCAGACATTGCCCAGCACTGTCACTGACGAAAACCAGGCAGGTGGGCTTGGGAAGGCAGGCTCCAGCACCACTTCCCTGTTTGGTGCAGCGACCTCAGCCGCCGCATCAAAGCCTGCTGCTGCATCCTCAACGTTTGGGGCCTTTGGCGCGGCGGCATTAGCCACAGCACCGCAGTCTGCAACAGCGACCTCATCGTTTGGGGCCTTTGGCGCGGCGATGCCAGCCGCGGCATCAAAGCCTGATGCTGCGACGTCGTCCTTTGGCGCCTTTGGCAGCGCGCCAGCCTCCTCAACGGCAGCCTCCTTGCCATTCACGTCTATGGGGGCAGGGGCATTTGGAGGATCGAGCAGCTCACAGACTGCCATGTCCTTTGGCGGCTTTGGGGCCGCGGCGGCCTTGGGTGCCTCGGAGCCGGCGACCTCTGGCAGCGCCGCAGTTGCAGGCACAGCTGCCGCCTCCAGCGCTGCGCCCACCTTGCCCTTTGGGGCATTCGGGGCGAGCACCTTTGCTCCGGCGCCATCAACTGGGGCCGCCCCGGCCTTTGGCGCGTTTGGCACCCCAGCGGCTCCAGGGTTTGCCTCCTCGTTTGGCGCATTTGGCGCGGCATCCTCGACCGCTTCTACCAGCGCATCCCCCGCGCCGGCCTTTGGCGCTTTTGGGGCCCCGGCAGCCGGAGCAGCCGCGCCGTCGCAGCCCTTTGGTGCGGCGGCTGCCTCGACCGCCAGATCCTCGCCTGCCATGGCCTTTGGCGCCTTTGGTGGCGGCCAGCCGGCCACAGCGTCACCCTTTGGAGCATTCAGGGGAGGCGGCCCCGGCGCTGCCGCACCTGCCTCCCCTGCACCTGCATTTGGAGGCAGCGCAGGCTTGGGCCAGCAGACCAGTGCAGCCTTCGGACAGTCTGCAGGGTTGGGGGGCAGCACCTTTGGGCAAGGATCAGGTGCATGGACGGGGGCCGCTCCTGCATTTGGCTGGTGCTCACGGCATGGTGTTTCGGTGGAGCAGGAGTGGTTGTTGCACATGTTGCTGCCTGCCTGTGCAATACATCGCCTAGTGTCCTATGCCAGCAACCTTTGCAGCCTCTGTCACCCGCAACTCCCGGCATCACATGCACCCTCCTTCCCCTCATCCGCGCCGCTCATCAGGTTTTGGAGCCCCTGCCTCACCAGGATTTGGAGCCCCAGCGTCGCCTGCCACCCCTGGCTTCGGCCAGCCCGGATTTGGAGCGGGAGCAGGGAAGGCAACGGCCTTTGGTCAGCCCACGGGCGGCTTTGGTGCCTTCTCGGGAGCCGGCAGCTCCCCTGCTGCCTCTGGGTTCGGAGGTTTTGGCGCCGCCGCAGCTGGCAGTGCTCCCGCTGCATCAGGAGTTGGAGGCTTTGGCGCCGCTGCTGCGAGCAGCTTTCCCGCTGCATCAGGGTTTGGAGGCTTTGGCGCCGCCGTACCCCGCCCCCCCGCACCCTCCGGAGCGTCGCTGTGGGCCCCGCGAAAGTGATCCTGACCGATTGCGTGACACTGCACTGGTCTCCTGCGCTGCCTGATGCTCTTTACCTTTGGTCTCTGTGCTGCTGTGTGACACTTGCTACACTCAATCGCTGGTCACCCCATCGATCGCCACACGGGCTGAATGTCATCAGAGAATGACAATTGATCCATATAAGGTAATGTACTCAACCACCCGGGAGGGAAAGACCGCACCCAATTTCTGATATCCATCAACTCAAGTCATCTCAGTGGGTGGAACTCGACTCGACGGCGCTGCTGTTGGTCGTCTCGCGTGCAGATGCCAGACCCCCCCCGTTCACTGCATCCTCTCCTGAAGCTGCCTCCTTCTCCAGGTCCGATCCGGCCTCCATCCGACCTGGCTCCCCACTCCCGCTGCCGTCGGCGATGACCGTCGGCGGCTGGTCAGATTCCGGCGCGGCGCCAGCGCCCGTGCCCGGCTCTCTGTCGTCGCCAGGGGCCGTCTTACTGTCCCCCGCTGTCCCCTCCGCGCCGGCCTCCTCTGCGACAACCTCCGCCGCCGCCTTCTTCTTGCGGCCTCTCTTGGTGGGCACCTTCGCCGCCCGCGGCGCGGCGGGCTTGGGGGCCGCCGCCTGAAGCTCCTCCAGCTTGCGCTGTGGCAGGGGGTACGATGTGGGGAGGGGGTTGGGAATTGGGATCACTGCCGACATGCCGCTGCTAGCCTTCCCCGCGAGCGCAAGGTCGCACACGGGCGCTGCTCTCCTCGCACAGACCACGCATGCCACCCTCAAAAATTGCCCAAGCCTGCATCTGTGCACTGTATAGGCCGCATGTACC